GGTTTCGTGTCTGTCTTGGGATTCCTTTTGCAGTAGCCCCCTGGACTTTGACTGAAAACGGACTGTTTACAGCAGTGACCAGGGGAAGTGACCAAGGTGAAGATGGCCCGGGATCGTCACTCAGCATACTCAAGACAGCGGACAAGTGAGCCGTTCACCACCCTCAGCACCCGTATTCTGCATGATTAGTGCGGCCACCTCCCTCGTGCTCCTGAGATCTCCTCGTGTTTCCTGGAAGGTGCGAACTTCTTTAGACTCCGCTTGCCCTCCCATGCTAGCTAAGATGATCCCTGCTTACGTGGGAGGCATACTGTACCTGTGCACACAGCTCCCGCCATGCCCACCCCCAGAAAACGCTCGGCCTACCAGCAGGTAGGCTTCTCCATGTGACCAAGTGCAAAGGTAGAGGTTCCAAGGGACTCGGTGTTCCTCCTTGCCAACAGCTGTGTGTCTGGTTAAAAGTTTCTTCCACAGAATGGGTTGTTATCTGTGCCTGAAGAAGCAGGCTTTGAATACCTAAGATGCTGTTCTCAATCATTTTCAGAGATATTTCCAAGTCGCAGTCAGGAGAGCTTCCCTAATCAGAAGTCCGATCATTCCTGCCGTGGCTGTGATATGCCCTGAGTGTAATTAATTTGTTCTGTGGTAAGAGATATGCTAATCATTACCACTTGGTAGATGCTGTTAAAACCTTATTAAAGATACATATGGAAAGCTGTACATCCCTAAACAGAGAAAATATTAAAATAATCTACAAGCCTCTCAGCTCCAATTAGTGTCCAACTCTAAGTGGGTCAGCTCCTTGGGATGACGTCAGAGGCTTATTAGGGCCATACTCTTCCTTTTCCTCAGCCGAATGGCTTACAATTTCCTCTCCTTGTATCTCAAGCAATCTGTAATGTCTAAAGCACGTAACTAAGACACTATTATCCAGTGAAGCCAGCCACCTCCTAGTCCTCCCCGCAGTCCTTGAATATCCATTCCAGTGCATTCCGTTCTTCCGAAACAGGAGGAACTCACCCAGCCCTTTGGAGGGAGATTTGTCTAATCAGTGGGTTAGAAGAAATTTAATTAGGTCGTCATTCATGGTGATGAGTCTTAGGGAGCATGCCCCTCTCCCCACTGCTGCTGCTGCTTAAAACACAAAGACAGTGATCAGAAGCCAGTCAGGGGCTTGATGCCGCAGGGGCACCTGGGTATGACTCTGACACTGTCCCCACAGTAGAAGGCAAATCATCTCCTAATCTTGCTGTCTGTGTACTTCGTTTTGGGTTTTCATCCCTGGCTTATTTTGTGGCTTTAGAAGAGTGAATTGTGAAACTGTGGTGCCCGTGGCCAGTACTATGGTCCCTGTCCATCACCATGGTCCCTGTTGTCTGTGGTCCCGACTTTCTCCTATCAACAAAGCCGTGTATGGATTAATTTATGTTTCTTGTTCAATGAAGTTAATGTCTTGTGTTTTTGTCCAAAATTATATTGAAAAAAGATAAATATTATATTGTGTAATGCAAATTGAAGGAATGCAATAAAGAGTAAATATACTTGAAATGTCGTGTGGACCAGTATTTCCTGCCAAGCAGCACCAGTCACTGACAGGACTGTGTGAAGAGAAGCCCCTCCTTGTTTTGTCACAACTAGCACAGGAAGGGCTAGAGAGATGGCTCAGCAGTTAAGAGCACCTGCTATTCCAGAGGACCCGGTGCAATCCCCAGAATCCACATGGCAGCTCACAACTGTCTATAACTCACACATTTGGTACACATATATATGCAAGCAAATCACATGAAATAAGTTTTAGGCCAGACTGATGGCACATGCCCTTAATCCCAGCACTCAGGAGGCAGAGGCAGGCAGATCTCTGTGAGTTTAAGGACAACCTGGGATCTGTAGAGCAGTGGTTCTCAACCTGTGGGTTTTGACCTCCTTGGGGTCACACAACCCTTTCACAGGGGTCACCTAGACTTTCAGAAAACACAGAAACTTATAATTCACAACAGTAGCAAAATTGTAGCGGTGGAGTAGCATCAAAAGTAACTTTACAGTTGTGGTCACCACAACATGAACTGAATTAAAGGGTCACAGCTTTAGGTAGGTTGAAAACCACTGCTGTAAAGAGGCCCTGTCTCAAAAAAATAAATAAAAATAAAAAATAAATAAAAAATTTAAAAAATGGAAAGAAAATATTAAAAAGAAAAAGCTCCTTAGTATATGCTAATATACAAAAATCTTCATACTCATGTTTGATAGTTATTTTACCTTAAAAATCTGAGCTTCTGGAGCTATGAACTCAGTCAGAAACTGGAGGGAAGCTGCTTCTTAGTAAAATGACTCCTCCTCTGAAATGTGTGAACTGGAGACTCTGGCACGCCAATGCGCGCAGTGTGAACTGGGGGCTCCTGCACTCCAACGACACAGTGCGAACTGGGGGTTCCTACACTTCATGGCTCACTTTGGTGTCCTTCATACTTTCTGCAATTCACAGACATCAGATGCCGCAGCCCCAGTTCTTTGCACAAGTAAGCCCCAAAAATGAAGGCTGTTCAGAGAAGAGGCTAGCTCCTCCTTCCCTCCAGCCCAGAGCATGGCCACTCGGATGAACCTCTCCTACACAGCTTTTCACTAAGTCATTCAAAGAGACTGTTTGCTAAATGTTTATGTCTTCGTTTAGGGTGGTAGCTTAAAGATTACAGTGAGCAGCCTTTCAGTTTTAACTATGTCACAGGATTATGGAGAAGATTCAGTCAGGTCTGATAATCAAACCCTCACCAGCAGACCTACAAAGCAGAGTCAGTCATAAATGGCCACCTGACCAAACACAGAAGGCAAGGGCAGGATTTCAGTTTGCTCGACTGGCAGCTGGGCCACCCTCTTCAAACAAGAGACTGGGCAAGGTTTGTTAAGGGTTCAAAATTGCATGTAAATTTTTCTAAGTTATTATAAAATGAGAACCACTGGCCCCCGCCGAGGCTGAATCCCCGTGACAGCCCAGGAGGGTGTGAGCTCACTGACAATGGCGTCAAGATGCATCAGTGACACCCGTGATCTGCAGGAGATGTAAGGGGGTGAGGATGGGGTTCACAAGGAGGATGAGGTGTGGTGGTGCACACCTATAATCCCAGCACTCCAGAGGCAGAGGCTGGAGGATCAGCACAACTCTGAGGCCAGCCTGGTCTACCTAGTGCCAGGAGAGCCAGCACTGCAGAGTGAGACTGTGTCTGCTCTGGAATTGCAATGGCATGTATTTGTGATTCTCTGGCCCAGTCCACATAATGGACAGCCACTGTTCCGGGATTAATCAGTGGTGAGATAGCTGTTTGCCTCCCAGATTCTATTAAGTGAGGCATGGCAGTGGAACACCACACTTATGCCGAGCTCACTTCCTGAGTGTAGACCATTCATGCTACATGCCGATATGCCCAGGAACACACGAGACAGCCAGCGGGTCCACCCAGAATAATCTCACCCCACTTGCCTTGCTTTTCCTTGCCTTTGCCTCAGTTCTTCTCCCTGTATTTCTGCCTCACTCTTGAACTCAACAGCCTGTCTTCAGAATAATGTTGCTTTGAGTAAAATCTTGCCCCTTCTCTCAAATTTTTTTCAAAACATTGTTTAAATTTTGTATCCCTGTTTTTTAAATACATGGTCTCACTACATAGTGCTGGCTGGCCTGGAATAGAGATCCACTCATCTCTACCTGCTTTATACACCACCATGCGCAACATAAAGCTTCCTCTTCCCGTCGTTTCTAACTACTACTGTTCAAGCATAACTTGAACACTGTGTTCTCCTTTATAGAATACAGTGGCCATAGGATACAGATAGCCTTAGTAAGTCTGAATAGAGACCATTTAAACATTTGGCAATCTTGTAAGTTTGAAAAAAATAAATAAAATGAAACCCAGAATGCTAGGAGAGAAGAGTGTTTACCTCGTGGAAAGGTAAAATGAAATAAAAGAGGGCCAGCCGCTAACGCCAGAGCTCTGCTCTGCTCTCAGGGGCTTTGCACAAGTGGTACTGGGTGAAAGATGCATCAAAAGGAGGCTCTTGTGGTCATTTCCAGCTGAGGGGTATAAGGCAAAGGACCTGGCATTGGCAACCCATCTCCACCATCAGAAGAAGACGATGTAACAGTTATTTCCATGAGTGGTAGAGCCGGAGAAAGAAAGAGGAAACTCATTAGCCATCCTCTGAAGCATTGTGCCAGAAACACTGAAGGGGGTATTCTGTAGGTAGGTCTGAGAACTAAAGGACCATGTATCATCATAAAACTGCACGCCTTTAATCCCAGCACTCAAGACAGAGGCAGGCGGATCTCTGTGAGTCTGAGGCCAGCCTGGTCTACAGAGTGAGTTCTACAGCCAAGGCTACACAAAGAAACCCTGTCTTGAAAAACAAAAGCAATAGCAACAAAAAAGATGGCAGGATGAGGGCCTCAGGTGTGTTTTACTGAAACTCCAGACCAAGGAGAGAGTGCCCTTCCCAGAGTTCCTAGCAAGTCCTGTCCAAACCAACCCAGGCAGGACACACCATCTTGCAACCTACTTACCTCTTCCACAGTTCAGCTGTTGTATAGAGCTGGCAGGAGAGCAGTCTTTTCTGGTCCAGCTTCATTTTCAGTAGACCAGCTCCTGTCCCCAATCAACAGTGCCAATGTGGTAAGGAAGGAGGAGGAGGAGGAGGAAGACAACGGCTGGCCCTATGACCCACTGACCTGGGTCAGATCTTTTAGAAATACCTAAGACATCAACATATATGTTGAAAATGTTCAAGGCTGTGAATGAATTACTGACCAGGTTTGTGCTTCCCCAAACTGGAAATCCTTTGTGGTGACTTAGTATCAAGTAATCAAGTCTCATGTCACACCTGCTGTCCGTGACATCTCATCTTGTTTACAGAGGAGGAAATGACCATAATTTGGCCATTTAGTTAACAAGGGCCACGACCTTCAGATACCCTTGACCTAAGGATGAATCTGGAGACTCCACACATTGTACAATGTATCTGTTTGAAGTTTACCTTTTCTTTAATGACTTAATGGAAAAAAACTGCATGATGAAATAGATTTTCTCCAAATATATATATATTTATATAATATATAATCTTAGTTAACTCAAGGTATATACATTGTATAATAAATAATATTTATAAAAAGAGACTTTTTGAATATAAAATCAAAAAGATCAACAACTTCTACAACTTTTTACAAAACTTTGGATACAGCAGGTTGTAGGAAATTCCCAGTGGATACTATTACCTGACTATGGCGAGGATAATTACAATGCACTCATGTACTATTATTAAATAATTACTTGTCAGCTACTTGAATACTCCCCAGAAACATGACTTTATCACTTTTAATATAGAATACATAGATATGAAAAGACTTGTAAATTTTGTATCCGTTCTGCTGAAGTGTCCTCGTATAAGCAAGCATTATCTGATTGACTTGATTTCAGACTTCTGGAAGGAGAGATGGGAGGGGCATTTGGGATGCTAGGAAGGGGTGGGAGGTGTACCTCGAGCAGTGCCCCTGGTCACAGGGTGGAGAGTATGGGCAAGGACCTACTTGGGCCTGCTTGGCAAGTCAACTACACAACAGGAAAGTGAGTGGCTGACCTGACGCCAGAGTTTGCAGACCCCAGACAGAAGGGGAAAGGACAAATCTTTGTTCCGCTCCATTCCTCTGTCGCATCTCCTCTTTCTGAGTCTCCTTAAGACAGAGTTGATGGATTGATCCATGCTGCCACACCCATCTTATTAACCCCAGGCAGGACCACCGTGCATCAAATCTGAGCTGGGAGCTGCTTCATTCGCCCTGCTCACCTCTTTCGAGCATCTAATCCAGAACCTTGGGAACTGAGATAGGCTAACTAACTCGCAGGTGCAGGGAGGGCTGTGTTAAGGATCTCTAGTCTTTTGGGTTACTCAATCCAAAGGGAGGAGAGGACATGGGATGACCTGTCCTCCTAACACAAGGGAAATGGGAATCTTCACCCACCCCACCTGCCAGTCGCCAATTTGCAATTGCAAGATTGCCGCTCTCTCATCGGTGCCTTTAGCCAACTAAGGTGCCCAGCTGTTCTCTCTAGGGTCTGCTGGTGAGCACGGCTGAGAAGGGCAGAACAGCCCCCTCTTTCTTCAGGTAGTGCGCGGAGCTGGCAGAGACTTGCCTCCGCATCCAGCCTATTTACAAGGTCCACCATGAAAAGCATCTGCAGTAACGGTGGAAGCTGCAGAATGGCAGAAAAAGATGACCTGACTGTTTCTAATGCAGAGCAGGGCTAGAGACAAAATGAGCCTTGGAGGAGCTCGGCTAGTCTTCAGATGGTTTCCCAGACCTCCCAGAATTCTGAGATCTTCAAAACTCAAGTGCCTGCTCCAGCAATGGCCCAGGGCCTCCCCGCCACTACACCCTGGCTATACTTATGGCTTTTCTCAGAATGGGAAAGTGTGTCCAGCTTGCATGGGAGTAGATGGACAAAAGGGACTGCAGGGCTCTGTCCTGGGTCACAGCCCCCATCAGAGGCATCCTGGACTGTCACGGGTAGAGGCAGCTTGGAGGCGGAACCTTGCCATGCTCTCGTCTTCCCCACCAGGCCAAGAGCTCGCATTAGCCCAGCCTGTTCTGTTGCAGTAGAATATTTTTTTTTCATTTTTATTTTCTTTAACATGTGCAAAGGTAAGCCTCGGGTCTGTTCCCAGCAGACCCTGGAAAACCAAGAAAAAAGAAAGCCCCTCTGTAAAGCCACACACCATCCAGAGCAGGGTGAGAAACGTTAGATGAGAAAGGAGGGGCCTCCCATCCGAGGCCGGCTGGGTCCAGGTCATTTATCAAATGCAGCTGGCAAACAGTCCACGCTCCTTGCCGGCCAGTGCCGAAGGCTGGCCCGGGTCTAGATCCTGCTTCCCATGGGACTTCGATGAATGGATCCAGCCGTGCAATCTACCCCTTCCCAGTGCCCTTTGGGAAATAAACAGGAAGAATCAGAAACCTAATAACTGCTGTTGACATCACCCCCTGGGATGCAAAGACCACAAGCTGCTGACACTGCTCCCCCTTAACCTCCGAGCCTGCTGTGGGGAGAGGACATGCCATCTGCAGACCTTCTAGCTGAGGAAGCTGCTGTAAGTAGCTATGGCAGCACCATCCTATGTTGAGCTGGAGAAACCTGGTAGTCTAAGGGACCAGTCAGTTCCCAGCAGGGCTAGTGCCACCAGACATGCTCTGTGTCCCTGATCAGGCACCAGCAGCTTGCTGTGAAGTGCCCAAAACAAGAGGCATCTACTTAACTAATTATGATGAATCCCTTCCCAGAATGCTCTACTGAGAATGTTTAATCCTTCATCCTGTCCCGTGGGATTTGAGGTACCAAGGCATCTCCCAGGCACACACCCCCCCCCCACCCGCAGCCAACCCTCAGCTGTGGGTCTGGCAGAGATGAAGCAGGCAGAGCAAGATGACTTGAATATGCCCAGGGTTCCACAAAAGACTAGTGACAGACCCAGGACATGTGGCCAGTTAGATGAGACTGGGTCCGTAGCTCCTCCAACATAGGGATAAAAAACATAACCCCGATGGTTGTGAACCACCAGTGTTCAGGTACCAAACCGGTGGCTAAGTGGAGACAGTGGACAAAACTCAAGCAGTGGAGAAAGCATCTTCCCCACTTCGGAAAGGCGGGGCTGCTGCCACTGTGCTAAGTTCTTCCCAGAGGGTATGGAGGGCATGTGACCGGCCCTGCTCTGCTCTATGGCTTCTCTGCCTGTTCTGCCAAGGAAAATGCCAGACGCTCTCTCTGCCTGCTGTCTCCCTGCCCACTGGTCTCTTGGGTTCCATGAGTAGTAGCACCTACAGGGATGAGAGAATAGGAAGGAAGCAGATCTCAACCAGCTTTGGCAAACCAGGCTGCAAGAGCCTAGAGAAAGTAACTCTCCATCAGCCCTGCTGGGGCCTCAGGCCAGGCCCTTTAGGACTGTGTCTAGCTCCCAGCAGCCCTGCAGGACACAGATCTTATCAAGAGGAAACCAGGGCTCAGAAAGGCAAAGGACCTCACAGTGGGAGAGAGCTCCCGGCTTATCAGGAAGTGCGGGTTTGAGAGCCCCACCCTGCGATGGGCTTGAGGCTGTGACCTACATGGTTATGTCTGCACGATACTGGAAAAACACCAAGTGTCTGTTGTAGAAATGTGAATCAAAGGGGCTGCTGACAAGGTCTCTACTACCCAGCTACACCTGATTCTTCTTAGGGGGTCAATTTTTAGTTCAAGGGTTGGTGTGGAGTGATTTTCTGGCCATCAAAGGCCAACCCAGCACTTCCTTCTCTGCCTAGAGGTTGCCCACATGGGCAAGGACTGAGTCACAGGAGCTGTATCTGAGACCCACACTGACCTCCTGAGTCCAACATGAGGCTTGGGACACCGATAATGTGGCCTTAGCAAGCTGACGTGGGGAAGGGTTTCTGTGGGGCAAACACTAGGGTCTTGGTGGCTAGACAAATGGCCCTCCCACCTGGTCAGTAGGAGGCTACACCCACAGCTCCTCAAAATGGCCAGAGCTAGTGTCATCTGATTGGGTTGGCCGGGCTACTACCCCTGGTTTTCCGACATTCTTTCCACCTCCGCACACCAGCACTACCATTAGCCCGCGAGTCTCCGTACCCGCTGACTTTTCTCCCGGCCTTTCAAAATGCAGAAGGAATACCAAGGTGCCACTGTTCCTTTGCAGCAGCCCCATGCCAGCGCTCTGATGGCTTTTCTGACACTTCTGATTAGAGCTAGCTGCACAGGCGCATTCACGCCCGCTAACTTGAGCCTCATAAAATTTCAGCAAGGTCCCCATTCCGCCATCAGGGTAGATGTGAGGAAGTCAGTAAGGAGTGCAACGTTCAGCGGCAGGCAAGTGAAGTGCTGAGACTCAGAGGTGGTCCTCCCCAACCCTTGACCTTGAGACAGAAATCTCACCCCTCTTGCACAGTTCTAGACCCTGCCGGGATGGAAAGTAAACCCCACAGGATTTCTCAGATGGGCTGAGAAGGGTGTCACCCTTCAATCAGAGGTAGTTCTTGTGATGTTGGGTACCTCCTAGCCCTACATAGCGCAGACACAAGCCACCAGCTCCTGTGTGTCAGTGGCGGAGGTGCTTAGGTAGAACACACTGCCTTGGTCAGCCGTAAACTGACCGAAAGCTGCTTTTCCATTAGTCAGGAACTGGCTCCGGGTGTTCTTTCCCTCATTCATCACAGCAGCTCAGGAACACTAACAGATGCTGAAGCCAGAGTTGTTGGGTGACAAATGGGATGAGCTCACTGACAGTCAGATCTAACTGCAAGCCTGCACCACACAGCAAAGCCTTCTCAGGGGAGGAGAGGACTGAAGGAGGGCCATGCTGGCCTTAGAAACCTCCCATGCTAGAGACTCTAGGATCGCTCTGCTTCTAGGCTGGCCTTCCCGGGGTCCTCCCACACTGGCCACCTCTGGGAAGCTTGGGAGCATAATCCACCAGCCTTTTATCCCATGATTACTCACTACAAGTCACTCTGAACTGGGATCCTTCCTCCTTCCCATCTCCCTCCATAAACTTGGTGAGAGTGCTCCCTGCCCCACCCAGGCTTCAGATCTTGCTCCCACCCCACCTCCCAGGCTCTGGAGAATTTGCCTAGGTCAAAACTTGCCCTTTTAGTCCGAGGATGATGGGAAATGACTCTGCCCCAGGGTATGAGAGACTTTTCAGCCCACGGTTCCTCTCTCTCTCTCTCTCTCTCTCTCTCTCTCTTTCTTAGGACAGGGTCTCCATATGTGTTCCTGGCTGTCCTGGAACTTGCTATGTATACCATGCTGGCTTCAAAGTCACAGAGACCCATTTCCCTCTGCCTCCTGAGTGCTGGTATTAAAGGCCAATACCACCATACCCAGATCCTGTTTCTGGCATTTGAACTTCTCCTCATTGGACAGTAAGGACACTGAGGCCCTAAGAAATGAAAATCAGGGGCACAGCTAGGACCAGACCCCAGCATCTCTCTTCTGGCTGCACAGACAGTAATGACAGCCAGCGGCCAAGAACAAACCCGGTCTAGCTCATCATTGCTAATTTGTGTAAGATTTTTAATCAATTGCTTGTGGCTTATGTGCACACCGTCGGTTATTATCTCAGCCTGGTATAAATCCTTTACGTCACTGCCCAAGACCATTCCCATGTAAGCGTGGGAAGCCTTGGATTTCTACTTCTGCCCAGGAGCCTGATTTGTCTTGGGAAGCTTAGGGACAGAGAGGCAGTCCTAGTAGAGGAGAGGGGAGAGCAGCCCTGCGCCCTACTCCGCACCCAGTCCTAGGCAGAGCCCTGCGCCCAGCCCTGCACCCTACCTGGCTCCCTACTTGCAGGTGTGCACGTCGTAGATGCGAACGCACTCTTGGCAGCTGACGTAGCAGCACCAGTGGAAGACGCAATGGCATTTCTCCTTCCGCTTCTCCGTCCTCGTGTTGTGGCCGCGGCCACAGCACAGCAGATCACAGCCGTCGATGCCATGAGAGGTGACATTGCAAGTCCTGTCCCTGGTGCCGAAGGAGCCCGTCTCTGGGTTGGGTTCACAAAAGTTGGGGGAGTTCTCGTAATAGACGAGGTCCCTCTCGGTGGGGGGCTTGAAGAGCGCATACTTGGCCCGCAGAGTCTCCACCCAGCCTCGGGACTCCCGGTGCTTCTCAACCACCATCTCGGAGGCGCTGTCATACTTGTCCTTGAGGAAGTCGCCAATGGCACGGAAGTCGGGCTGGGCCCACCAGCAGGTCTTCACCTCACAGCTGCCTGACAAGCCATGGCATTTGCACTTCAGGTGCATGTGGTCCAGAATGGTCTGGGGGAAAAAGAGCAGCAGCTAACCCAGACTGACCCACATGGGGTACCACACCCTCAGTGGAAACCAGGGTCTCTAGTCCCACCCCAAGACCCCTGGCAGGCTTTCCATTCACATGGCATCTGCGCTAGTGGTACAAACTAGTGACTGTCATGCCCCCTCACTGCTGAGGCTGGGAGCCAAGTGATTGGCTCAAGGTTCCACAAACACAGGAAGGGGTAAGGCCGGACTCAAAGTCAGTCCCCACAGACAACCACATCACAGACCTACGCGCAGACCGAAGTCTGTCAAACAGCATAGCATAGTCTTCAAGTGCTCACTCCTATAGGGCAGCCACACTCTCTGCAGAGTAAACCCCCCCACCACACACACACACAAAGAACCAGGAGCAGGGCCAAGCATGATGATTTAAGTTCTTTTGATATCAGAACCTACAAGGTGGGAAGAGCTGGCTACAAGTTGCCCTCAGACTTCCACACACACAGCAAGGCATGTATGTATACACAGAGGGCCAATGAATTCGCAAATGTACTTAAATGAAAACTAATAACCCACTCGGGGGCAGCTGGGGGAGAGGAAGGAGGGCAGTTAAGATAGTCCTATGGGGTGTGGATGGGATCCTAGAGGGTCAGGATCCCTGGTGGGGCCCCCAGAGTTGTGGGCAGCTGACTCACCGTGCGGCCTGCCTCGTTGTTGTGCTTGTTCATTGCTGAGCGGGCATCGGGTCTGTTTTCCCGTGCATCCGCAAACTCCCGCGACACCAGCACCCCGAAGTCGGCATCCTCGCTGCAGCCGCCCCATTTCCAACCTTCTCCAGGTGGCCCCTTATGATGCGAGTCGCAGCCGCAGATGGTGGAGGTACCCTCGGCGCAGGAGCGCGTGACCGCGAAGGCTACCCCAGCCGAGGCGATGGCGTGCACGAAGGCTGATTCGCGGGTGGCTGCAGGAGGATGTCGGGAGAAGACACTCAACTCAGGCTGGAGCCTAGGTTACAAAGTCTTGCCTCTGAGGGCTGAGTCAGAGCGCAAGGGCTCACCAACCATGGAGGGAAGAAGAGCCAGGTGCCCTCCTGCTCCTCTTTAGTGAGTTCAGACCCTAGCTGGTCTTCTAGCTTTACGGATGGGCAAACTGAGGCCAGGACTATAATGCTACATGATAGGAGCGTCTATGGTGGGACGGGGATGATCACTGAGGAGTTAAGGTGGCCACGCCCTGTCCTAGCTCTTGGTCCCCCAACCTTGACCTTCACAAGCCCTCCTTTACAAACCAGTTCTGAGCCCCTACTCCGGAGGCTGGAACCTGCAACCTAAACTTATCAATCCACCCATGCTCAGTTTGAATCTCAGTTCCCCGAAGGCAGATTCGTCATCTGAGCTTTACATTACACTCTGTAAAATGGGTGCAGCTTCTCCCGCCATAAAGCTGTCTATTGCCTGGCCATATCCTTCTAAGCCACACGGGTCGAGATATAGGGCAGTTTTTCTGCCTCTGGCCCCAGGGACACGGGAAGAGGAGATTCTCATGGGGTGTCCCTAGCCTTGTTAGAGTAAGAGCCACCCCATGAATGCTGCGTACATACAGTTCTGACTTTCGGGAGCTTTATTCTCTAAAATGTTCTAAACTCTTATTTTATAGACAGAGCACTGGGAGAACAGAGGTTCAGCAATCTCTTCTTATAGGATTCCAAAGCAGGTCGTGCCATATTACACAGGTAGTCGGACCCAGGTCTCCTTTCCTAGGTCGTGGCCCATC